CCAGAGCTTTAACGAAAATAAAGTATTAAGGAGATTCGCGGGGAGATATCACACAGGAAATGTGTGATATCTGATCTCCAATATCATTCAATTATTATTATTTTCTTTTGCTACACAAACGAAATATTATACTGTCAGTAGACCTTTTTCTAGTTTAACAATATCTTGTATTCGGCCACTATGTACCTTAATTTAGTAATAGATTAAAATGTTTTAAAAATTTGCTATCGTGATTTAATTTAATTTATTTTGGTTTTGTTTTCATTTATTTTTTTTTTAAAGGATTCAAAAAGAAAATATTTTAGTTAACCAGATAAATAGTTCATAAAAAAATAACTGCTAAGCTCGAATGTTACATTGCAATATTTAAAAAAAAAAAATTAGAATTTTCTTAAAGACTGTAAATTTATAATTTTCTGTATCGCGATGCATAAAAAAAAGACGCCCTAAGATAATGGTGACGGATGCAGCCACTGTTATGGGTAATTTAATCTAAATCTGTTAGTAAGAATTAGCCATTGCTAACGAAAAAACGATTCAGTTGATAATGCAGTTGCTATTTCAACAATATATATATATATATATGTACATCATATAATATGGTAAAATAACTACATAGGCAATATGTATATATTTTTTTTTAAAAATATTTATTCAATATTGTCCTTATTTTCCCGTTTTTCCTACGGTTTTCTCTTGGTTTCTCCCGAATTACAAGTTTATTGGGAAAACTAGTGAGAAAATCAAAAAAAATTACCTCCTTAAAGTACCTTCACACATCGATTTCCTTTCAAAAAAGCGGCTACACATAAAAATCGGAGCAAAATCTCCACAGAACAAAAAAAAAAAAATAAAAATAAACATCTTTGTAAAACCATGATTTTCTTCGCCTCATTCGAAATCTAAAACAGGGAAAAATTACGGCAGTTTTTTTTTTATAGATTTTCAAATTTGATACTTTAATAGATAATAAATCTTTTTCTTCTACTTCGCCTTCATCTCAAATATTTATAAATTCGTCCATTATGAATAGATACTACAGTATACAGAAGTTAGCATGTGAATTGAGTTAGGACCATTAGATTCATATTATAATCTAATAAGCCGTTTCACTGAAATAACCGTAAACAAACTGATAATAAGGATTGGTGTGCCACTTTTATAGGTAGGAAGTTAGGAAGGTGTGGAATACATTAATTAATTAAATTTATATTCGTAGGTACTAAGAAATGATAAACCATTGATAACGAAAAAACAATTCGGAGTGTAGTTTGGTTACAAGTGTTTTGAAAGGCCTTAATATTTATGAATTTCGTTAAAATTTGATACTGAGATTCTTAAAATTCTTGATATTAAAAATAGCTTAATTGAAGTTTTTAAAATTTTACCACGTCTAGAAAAAACTATTATAAGTTTTGTCTAAAATTTCAAATTTCTACGAATAATTTTAACTGAATAACAAAAAATCAAAATTGACTATTATAAAAGCATAATTATCGTAGTTTCCCAATTTTTTTTAGTTTGTTCTCGGTTTTTTCCATTTATTTTGAAAACCACTCGGAAAAAATAAAAACTGAGCATAATAATAAACCAAGAAGATTGAAAATTCAACAAAAATGTTTCTTATTATTTTTTTAATTGAGCAATATTTCTGGTAAAAAACATAAAGCAAATTTAAAATAATGGAATCGTTACACCGTACATTTGTCACTTTTAATTTTATTTAGAGAGTTATTAATAAAGACCGGATTTATATGTTCTTAATATCCACAAAAAACTACTTAAAAACGTCAAAAAGCCTTGAAACAAATACATTAAAATGTAAAACCTAACATAACGGATTTAATTTATGAATACAATTTTCTACCACAATAATGATTAATAAAAAGTAATTTATTATAAAATACAAAACGGTTTTATTCAAAAGAAATTATTTTGTGTAAATCATTTTTATGGTGTTAGGAAATTTAATTTAATAACTTAGAGTCATTAGAGGAGGACTATAAAACTCCCCTATCATTTTTACTTTTTTTAAGTGTTTTTAAGTGCTTTTTTTCAAGGTGTTTTTTTGGTGTTTTTCAGCGCATTTTTGTGGATTATAAAATAATGTAAAATCGATCTCTAATTATTATAAAACCTAGGGTAAACCCTATAGAATATGTCTTCATGCGAACACAAAAATTCTGGGAAAAGGAGGAATAGTAAACAGCAATTATAAGTCGCATACATAAAAAAGGTGACAGATGAATCTGTAATAACTGCCTAGAAATTTTTTGCAGTGCTTACTTTATTTATATACAAACTACTATATAATTTTATATTATACAGAGTCAAACAGTCGACATAGGATTCACTAAGAGACTTTCAAACTGGCTTTAGAATAATAAGTCAATAATATCAGACGTTCGTATTGTGACAAATTCTTCAAAATATGTGACTATGTGCCATGTACCAATGTAGTGCCCAAATTGGTTTTAAAAAGGCGTACGAATGTTTGCATAGAAATTCGCTATTAAATATCCTTTAGCAATTTTGCATTCCATAACAACTGGTCGATCTCATAAAAACAAGAATTACGTACACAGAAATTGAAGTTATAATAGGGAACGCTTTGTTTAATGGCACGCAGTTAACAATAAGTTTAAGGCAAAAAGACGCGTTATATCCTTCCTGGTTTAATCTGGAGCATTTAGGTTTAAAATTGAGAAATACTGTAATTGATCTATTAACATACGTAAACGAGTTTTTACTTTTTGTGGAAAGTGAGAAAGATATTATCAAATAAACTTGTAATTTATTAGAGACAGTAAACAAGGAAAAACACAATGTATGATAATCTAAAGAAGAGAAATATCAGCTAACACTCGCGTGGAAGCGCAACAACTGTGGAAAATTATAAATTCAAAAGGGTACACGAATTCATATATCTGAGATTACGTAGAAGGGGATTATACAGAGGAACGAGATTCAAATTCAAATAGGACTCAGGATACAACTACGCAAGTAAGAAACATATACTTCTATAGTTTAAACAAAGCGTTTAAGACAAGGATGTTATCGAAAAGTCTCAAGTTACAATACTGTACCGAACTCTAATACGGCCTGTAGTGATGTATGGAAGGGAATCTTGGACATTGCACGAAATACAGTTAAATAAATTATTAGTATTAGAAACGAAAATCTTAAGAAAAATTAACGGCACCAGCGAGTGGAGAATCCGAAACAGTGAGGAAAATAAGAAACTCTATCGATACCCTGGCATAGTGAGCGAAATTAAAAAAAGAAGATCGTGGGCTGGGCATGTCTGGTGCAAAGAAGATTCTAATTACATTTACAGTACACGATTACATTATACTATGCAATATACCAACAAGAAAAAGACTGCAAAGAAAGTCTCAGGCTGAGGTTAGAAGATCAAGTAATGTTAGACGTGAAAATTTTGAATCCAACGGATTTTGTTATTCATGTGGCAGATAATATTTTGAGAGATCGCAACAAATTCATAGATACTTCATACGTAAAAACTTTATTTAGGTACTTTCTAATCGAGTAAATAGAATTAATAATGTTCGAATATTATATTTATTGTTATTTATTTAATAAAAAATGTATATAATTATAGCAGATTTTATTTTCAAGTTCGAAGGATAATAGCAAACTAAACGACGCACCAACCGGTTTAGAGCTTGTGCAGGTCCCGTGTCCCACAAACATTTTTTTAAATAATTTCAATTAATAGAATAATGATTTCTGTCAGATTTTCTAAATATTATTATTTTTTGGCTATGTGTAGGTATATTATAAAAGTAGCTGACCCAACAAAATTGTCATATATGTCACCAAGACAATCCATCGATAATTAAAAAAAATAATAATAAATAAACAATTTAATGTTCGTACCAAAAATACAAAAAAAATATAATTACCTATTGAAAATTTAGATCAATAATAATAATAAAATCCATATTATTGTACTTTTTAGTGTCATCTGTCGGTATGGTATAACACCACAATTAGCACGCGGCGTTTTTAACTAATAGATAGCGCTACAGTGTTCAATATATCGGTCGACTACAATATTTTATTGGCAGACATTCGCTTGCTCTCATTTCTTTATAATAATTACCGTTTTGCAATTTTTCATTTGTATAGTTTACAAACAGCCGAATTGTATGAATCCGTAGATAATAATAAACAAATCATATATTACGGGCGTTAAAAAAAGAATATAGAAAAATGTGTGAATTTCCTATTTTTTTTTTTTTTTTTTTTTAGAAAACATCTGTCCGAACCAGTTTTTATTTATTTAAAAACACATACAAACTTGTTAATCTTGATTATTCAAAATTATATGAAATTAATAAGTCTTTACTTGGCTTGTTTATTACCAGGGCTTGGATAGAATAGCATTAATTGTTAATTACGAGGTGTGGCTATTAAATAACGAGACTGGTTACGAAAAAGTGCTGTATTATAAAAATTATTCTACATTCAAATTTTCCCCTTCGAAATACTCCCCTCCCCTCGCCACACACCTTTCCATACGTTTTTTCAATTGATCTAAGCAGTGCTGGAAGTCTTCTTTGGTAGGGGCCTTTAGGAGCTTTGCCGTTTTTTGCTTTACCGCTTCCATCGACTCAAATCGGGTCCCTTTCAAAGTAGATTTTATCTTTGGAAACAAAAAAAAAGTCGCACGGTGCCAAATCTGGCGAGTACGGCGCGTGTTCGAGCANTAAAAACTCATCTTTGAATCTTTGTATTTTTTGGTACACTAACAACACTATAGTACTATTGTGTCCTCATAATTTTATCTTTATTATTGTGGATGTATAGTTAAATCCATGTGCTATACGGGTATCTATAGTAACACGGATGAAAAAATGTATGGCACATCAGAACACTTTTAGTCCGCCGTACTGCTTACTTTCCACCTATTTATTTTCGTTCAGTATACTGATAAGGACAAAGCAAAATCGGAATAAAGATAAAAATAATGAAAATTAACACGAGCAACGCCGGGTGCGGGACAGTTGGTATCTAATAAATAAAAAAAAATTGAAACGTCTAAATTAAGGTGCTATAATACAAATATCTATTTTACGAGGTGTGGCTATTAAATAACAAGACTGGTTACGAAAAAGTGTTTTACGATTATACGTGTTTTCGTATTATACAAATTATTCTACATTCAAATGCTCCCCTCCAATATACTCCCCTCCCCTCGCCACAAACCTTTCCATACGTTTTTTCCATTGTTCAAAGCAAGTTATAATTTTTTTCATCAGTCCGGGATCTTCTTTTAACTTTTCAAGGAAATCTGAGCAGACCTGTTGACGCAAGAACTTTTGGTCAGTAGTCAGGTTTTTTGGCACCAACTTCGCACAGACTTTTGTCGCATGTAATTCCTCATGTAAAATTTGTCTAACCGTTTCTTTATCGGCGTTTACAGTCTCGGCCATCGTCCGGATGCTCATTTGACGATCTGCAGGCACAATTTGGTTGATTTTGGTCACTGTTTCCGGAGTTTAAACAGTGACAGGGCGACCTGGGCTCTGGTCATCTTCAGTGTTCTCTCGGCCCTCACTGAAGCGCTTATACCACTCAAAAACACGTGCACGAGATAGAGGATTGCCTCCATAGGCCTCTTGCAACAATTTATAGCACTCGGTCGGAGTTTTTTTCAATTTAACGAGAAATGTGAGATTGATACGTTGCTCCTGTTTTTCGTCACACATGGTTTTCGGCACTAGAAAAAAAAATGTTCGTTTCAAACCACTACTGCACAAATACTATAATAGTGACGAAAACGTGTTTTGGTACGTGCATAGATAAGATACCCAACGCATTACTCGTTTTTTTCACTACCCATCTAGGGCGCCATCTAGGCGAGCAGTCTGTATGTCACCATTATAATTATGATTCGTTGTTTTACGTTGAGAGGGATGAGCAGCGGCGCGAGTCGAAAGTTTTGACCGGATTTCCAGCGGTTATAATTAGGTCACACGTTGTTGTCGTTATTATTATTATTATTATTTTTTTTCTGTCCAAGTTCTTCTACCGTCGCTGAAGGATCGTCGCACGGGACGGTTTTTTTCGTTTAAAAATAACGCGCAGTAATAATTGCTGATCGCAATCGCGGCGCCGCATGCCGCGCGCGGTATCGCGGAACGATCAACAACAAGAGGAGCGGGTGAAAAGAAACGGATAAAAGTGGGTCACGCGACGGGGTCGGCGGCCACACTCGGACACACTTGCGTCAAAGGCGCATCGACAAAGGCTTTTTTTTTTTTTTTTTTTAACGTGACGGCTTCGCGCGGAAAAAAAAAAAAAAANTTTTTTTTTTTTTTTTTATAACGTGACGGCTTCGCGCGGAAAAAAAAAAACAAAACAACAACAACAACGCCCGCGGGCAAATATCGCCGAACGCGGACGGCCGGAGTGTCGCCCGGCGGGCCGCGGAGAAGACGCCGGCCGGCGGCGCGCAGTGTAAAGTGCACGCGCGCGCCTACACGTGCATCGGCCGGCGCGTCGTAACGTCCGCGAGGAACCGACCGGACATCACACACCTGCCCGCCCGCCCGGCGCGTATGACGGCGTACGGCGCGAGACGCGGGAAGACGCGGTGTTGCGCGCGCGCGGTCTTTCGGCGCGTGAAAATCCGAAGGACGTTGCGTTTGTATACGGTGGGAAGAAAAAAAAAAAATCGCGCGACATCGCGTTCGTAACGGGCGACGTTTCGGACGCACCCGGGGACTGTTCCGTTCGGATGTGCGAACGAGCGTGCGCGTCGTCACGACGGACGGCGGGTGGTTCGTGGCCGGGGCGCGGTGCATGCGTGCGCGCGTGCACACCCGGCCGCCGCGTACGGCGACGGCGGTAAAGCGGGAAAGAGGAGACGGAAAACCCGAGGAAAACCGCGCGCGCGTCGGTAACGATGTTGCCGTCGTTGCGCGCCGAACGCCAACCCGACCCGACTTGCGTTCGCGGCGCGCGGTCTTCGAATTTCGCCGCGTCGTTGCGGGTGCAGCGCGTCATCGCGGCGTCGTGTCCGCGCGGCCGTCACTGTCGCGTTCGGGCGAACCGCCTTTTCCCCTCCCCTCCCATCATCGCCCGCCCGTCGCGCGATAAAACCCGCGGCGGGTTTCCGGCAACGCGTTCGGGCGAGCGTGACCGGTACGCGACGCGAAACGCAAAAGACGTACGCGCGGTTTATCGGCGCGTCGCAATCCGAAGGACGTTGTGCTTGTATACGGTGGGGAAAAACCAAAAACAAAAAAAATCGCTCGATATGATTCGTGACAGGCAACGTTTCAAATGCACCCGGGGTTTTGTTCCGTTCGGATTTTGCGGACGAGCAGATCGCGCGCGCACTACTCGATTGATTTCCGGGTTGTCGGTCGACGTGTTGTCGATTTCGGTTGGCGCGATGTCCGAAAAAAAAAAATAATAAAATTTTTTAAGGGAATATGGTATCGATTGCGAAATTGGTATTTCGGTATAAAATTTTGTTTGGTTTACCCAATTTATCAGCCGACGAAGTGGACTTTATGTCGATTGCTCCGTGAACAGAAATCGAACTCACGGATTATATGCCGGAAACATATTAGATTTCAGAGGATTCTATTTTTTTCCTTCTTATCGATGGACAAGAAAACCTACAAACTATCCAAATACTCGCTCAAACGAATTGTTGAGAAATGTCTGAACGCAATGCAATATTTACTAAATCGCCCAAACGCGAACCGCCCTTGTACACCCCTGAAAACCCAACAACCTCCCCCCCCCTGAAAATGAAGCCGAAAACACGAAAATTCGTATTTGTATGGTGTAAATGGTGTGCGACCCTCCGCCCCTCCGGCCGTTTTTATGCTCAAACATATTAATTTTTCCCATTAAATCGTTGCTAACATGTTTTGAAATACTGTCGGGGTTTTTAGGTTCAAAATGTCGAATGTCTATAAATAGCTCAAAAGCCGCTAGACTTAAAGAAGGATTCGTTATTTATAACCGAATTACAACATACACACAAAATCGAAAATGATAAAATCGGTGTCGCCGTAAACATTCATACCTTTCAGAATGCGGATTTTCTGGCTGGTGGTACTTTATTTGAAAAACGTCTAGATCACCAACGGTTTTCCTAAAACGTTCGAAAACCGACAACAATTAATGACGATAAGTAAATTATTTTTATTTTTCTGGATGTCTGTGTGAAGGAGGCTGTGTAAGGAAAACACGACTACGCTAATGCCAATAAAAATAAAACCAACCGAAATATTTATCAATGGAAAATAAAAACGTATAATCTTAACAATTTATCGTTGCTCAGAATCGTGTTGTTTTTTAATTGCAATGATCTATTGTCACTTTCATCATATAAAAGAAATAAATTCATATGGTTTCATGCTGTGCCTTTCAAACTTCCCACCTACAAAAATGGCCTACCACTATGCGCGAAGTATTCATATATTTTTAATTTTTTTTTTTTTTTTCTATAGTTTTAATCGGTTATACGAAAACCCGGTTATTTTTCACTAATATTTTTAATATGCGCTAAAAATATATATTTGTCATACATAGTTATTTCATTACCGCGGCCTACTACGGACATTAATACGGCTATAAGTTAACTCATTCAAGTCGCAAACGAAATCCATTTTGGTTTTTAGGTCGCCTCGACCCGAGGGTCGTCTGAAGCACGTGTAGAATTATAATATATGTGTACACGAATAGTGTTATAATACTTTATTTTATATACAAAATCGACCTTCGGTTCAATATAGAACCCGAGGCAACCTCTATTATAGGTGTACCATAGTTGTTTTAACACGATGTCGTGGTTCGCTTAACGCGGATATTCTATTTGTATACATACATTTTTTTTTTTTTTTACCTTCCTACGCTAAATTAGATGTAAATAAAATCATTGGCGGAAATTCTGTACACAACGCTACAATAGAATAATCATGGTTATATTTTGTGTTACAAATTCTACATAGGCTAATAAATTCATATTATTTTTTTTTATAAATCTTATGAAAATTGATTTTTTTTTTTCGTTTATTACAGTAAGTATGAAATTGTTTGTTCGTAGATTATTTTTGAAATATGACGAGTATGTATAACGATTATTACAGATAAAACAATATTAATATTAGAATACAATGTCAATTTGTTTGTAGAATATATATTATTGTGTTATTATATTTTATTTTTGGGAATGAAAATACTACCTACTTTTGATTTTCAAAAGACAACCTATGTTAAAAATTCTATAAATAGATGGAGTATTAAGTAAAATAAATTTTGGTGTCGACATTTTTGATTTTCGTCAATCCGTTGACGAAATATTCCACTTTTTGAACATTGGAGAGTAGTGGAGTGTCATTTATGTGGCGGCACGGCACGCATTGGTTTAATAATGCACCACTACTCTCCTCTGATCATAACTTAAAAGTGGAGTTTCTTATCAACGGATTGATCGAAATCAGAAATTGCAACACCAACATTTATTTAAACTTATACTCCATCTATTTATTGAATTTTTAATATAGATTGCTATTTAAAAATCAAAAATAGATAGTGGTTTTATCGCCGAAAATAAGGCTGACAAAAAAATCGCATGAATATAAAATCGTTGAACTGCTTGTTCCGTAAATGTTCTACGAAATAAATTTCGAAAAAATTTAGTACTTTCCGAGAATAACGAGTGTCCACGATAGAATTATCACCCCGTATTAACAAAATATACAACTTCGACTACCCACCTTCTCGTCCAGAAAATAGTGTTAAAAATTAGGTGGTCGGACTGAGAATCGACCGGAATCTCTCGCTTTCCAGATGATTGCTCTACTACTATGCTATACTCGGTACCTGACTTCTAACACTATTTCCGCTGGACTTGAACGGTCTAACGTTATGGTTTTGGACGATGGATTGATCTTGTATACGGGTTGAGGGGTCGATGCTTTGCTTGAGGACTGTATCGCAACGTATCCTGAATCTAAATAATCAAAATATGGTTTTAAAATTGAAATCCATCAAACACAATTCCTACAGTTTTATCTGACTTTTTGGTCTAAAACGTCATATTTGTATGGAAAAACGGCCGATTATTTTTCCTAAAACGAATATCCCACAGTATAGATTAGTGCAAAACTCTTACTTAAACTCTTACTATTAAAGTATAGTTATTAAACTTAAAAATAAACTGTTACATTTTATAAAATTAGTAAATACTTGGAAAATTGCCACCAATCTCCTTGATTATTATTGCCATTATGATTATACTAGTATAAATTATACAAATTAGATTATTATGCATATTTAGCAGCAGCGATAAAAATATGATATTCGATATCTTTTGTCGCGACAATGAATTTCAACGTACCTATAAATAGCGATACACGCGATAAAGGATTGATGATAAACCAGTTTTGTTGATTTTATAATGTGTATATGTATTCTGTGTGTGTGTGGATGTGTATGCACGCATAAAAAAGCAGCACCCTGCATTATGCATTTTGTTTGACATGATAAAGTTGTTTTAATGCGTTCGTATTTTTTATACGTCAAAGATAAAATTCAACACACAAAATGATATTATTAATATGTTTTTATTCTTCTGGCTTTTTTATGAGGTTAAATATCATATAATATATATGTGTACATATATCCGTTATGCATAATAATACGTATATACATTATTAGTTTACATAATGATTTCAAATTATGA